AAAAAAAAAAAAAAAAAAAAAAAAAAAAAAAAAAAAAAAAAAAACCCAGAAGGGCGTGAGAATTTACCTACTCCTGGGGTGGCCTGTAGCTAAGACTGTCACAAGGTGCTGGAGTATCACAGCCCAGCTTCTTTGACTCTTCTGGAGACAATTCTGGAATGTGTTCTCCAGAGGTCCCTTGCAGGACTAGGCCAAAGTGACTTTCTGTATGGCTTCTGATTTGTTTGGCCTCCTCCCCTCCCTCATCTTACTCCCCCATTCCCCTATAACACATCACTAGTGATAACACATCACTAGCTATTGAGGGTTGGCTTCAGGGGATTCCAGGCACCCAGTTAAGTATTGGCTGAGCTGGGCCAGGATGTTATTCAGTGACTGATTCCAAGAGAATTCAGAAGCTGTGTCGAGCAGTGACAGCCTGATCAAGAGTCCAAATGATCCCAGAGATCCCAATAATCATGTCACATGAGACCCTCAAAATACATAGGCTTCAGAAGAGCCCCTTGAAGTGCAAGGCGTTGAATGAGACAATTTATATACCTATCTCATTTAATAGTAAAACATCTCTACAGTAGACTTTTTCAGTTCTCATTAGAATGCTTGAGATCATGCAGATTCAACAAAATTCACCTTTTACTAATTTTAAAATCACATTTTAGGTGAAGGGGTACTTCTAAATTTCACTTTGGTAGGATTCCACTGATATGTTGCCTCAGTTACATGAAGCTTCATTTGACCCCATCATCACTGCCCACCCTCTCCTGCTAAATGTCCTGTTACTCATATATTCATGTACACGACATTAATGTGGGTAACATTCACTTTACCCCCTGAGATGATTGCAGATCTGGGTGACGCAACAGCAGAGTTCAGGACTGATGCTCTGGAGCTGCACTGCCTACTACAGTGGCCACTAGCCACATGTGGCTATTGAGTGTATGAATTATGGCTGGTCTGGATTGAGATGTACTTTAAGTGTAAGGTATACCTGAGGGATTTTGAAGACTTAGTATGAAAAAAAAGAATGTAAATTATCTCATTAATAACCAAAAATATTTACTACCTGTTGACATAATATTTCTGTATTAGGTTAAATAAAAGATTAAAATTAATTTTATCTCTTATTTTTTGTGTAAAAATTATGGTTACTAGAAAAAAATTACACATAGAGCTTGCATCATATTTCTATTGGGCAGCTCTGCTCTAGAAACTCAAACAAAGGGAGGTTTAGGGAGTGAGGTTGTCTGAATCCTCCCAGGAAGACAGGCTGAGCTGGGAAGAAATTGTGTGGTTGCCGTGATGGCAGGGTTTGCTGTGGAATCAGGAGGCAGCCAGGTGAGTGCTTCATGACCTCACTTTACAACATGTGTGGTTCCACAGATGGCTCTGTGCCCCTCTGGCCAAGAGACTTTATGGCTGAAAAAACTGGCTTGTAAATCAGTCGTCTGCCCAAATGACACCACTGCTTCTCTGGTTCCAGGCTGGCATTTGTTAACTTTGCAGAATTCACATTTGCTCTCTGTGTCATGCTGTCATATTCTTGTTGGGGAGGGGGAAGAGGCCAGCTGAGAGAGGAGAGAAGAAGACAGGATGGAGGACAGAGGGAGACCCGGGGAGAAGACCTCATGGGCTGAAACAACAGGTTCAAACATCAGCTTGTTGGGGCTTCCCTGGTGGCGCAGTGGTTAAGAATCCGCCTGCCAATGCAGGGGACACAGGTTCGATCCCTGGTCTGGGAAGATCCCACATGCCGCAGAGCAATGAAGCCCGTGCACCACAACTACTGAACCCACGAGCCACAGCTACTGAAGCCCGCACGCCTAGAGCCTGTGCTCCACAACAAGAGAAGCCACCGCAATGAGAAGCCTGCGCACCGCAACGAAGAGTAGCCCCCGCTCGCCGCAACTAGAGAAAGCCCGCGCACAGCAACGAAGACCCAACGCAGCCAAAAATAATAAATTTTTTTTTTTTTTAACATCTTTATTGGGGTATAATTGCTTTACAATGGTGTGTTAGTTTCTGCTTTATAACAGAGTGAGTCAGTTATACATATATATATGTTCCCATATCTCTTCCCTCTTTGCCTCCCTCCCTCCCGCCCTCCCTATCCCACCCCTCCAGACAGCCACAAAGAACCGAGCCGGCTTCCCTGTGCCATGCGGCTGCTTCCCACTGGCTATCTACCTTACGTTTGTTAGTATATATATGTCCATGTCTCTCTCTCGCCCTAACACACCTAATTAATAAATTAAACAAAAAAAAAATCAGCTTGTCAAGTGATTTCTTCCCCTCTTTCTTTTCTCAGTGATTTCTTCCTCTCTTTCTCTCTCTTTTCTTAATGTCTTTCTTCCTGACTTTTTTTTTTTTTTGCGGTACACGGGCCTCTCACTGCTGTGGCCTCTCCCGTTGCGGAGCACAGGCTCTGGATGCGCAGGCTCAGCAGCCATGGCTCACGGGCCCAGCCGCTCCGCGGCACGTGGGATCTTCCCAGACCAGGGCACAAACCCATGTCCCCTGTATAGGCAGGCGGACTCTCAACCACTGCGCCACCAGGGAAGCCCCTTCCTGACTTTTTGATGTTTGTTCCTGGAAAACCATAGCAGTTACCTTTGTTTTGTAGACGAGGAAATAGGGGAAAGAAACTGAGGAGTGATTTCCAGAGATAAATAGGCTCTGAGGCAAAGGGAGTAGGAACAGGATTTAGGGGTATAATCCCTTCTGTGTTGGGGTGGAAGTCCCAGCTCTAGAAAGTACACTGTCACCAGCACTCCACCCTGGTGGATACTGCCTCAGTTAGCACAGTTTCTGGGAAAAGGCTTTTGGCATTGTCACAAGCCTCCGGAAGAATTCCACACTTTAGGCCAATATAAAGGAGTTCTAGATCCTACCAGGTGTGCCAGTAGGGCTCCTGGTGTCCCTTCAGATCTGGGACTGCCTTGGGGACGACACTTGGGCCCAGCAGAGCAGGACACATTAGTTCAGTGAGCACTCATGGAACGTCTGGTGGGTCCTGGGTGCTGAGGGATGGAGAGCAATTGCCCCAGGTCCCAACCTTGGGAACCTCACTGTCCCATGGGGGCAGACAGGTCTGAAGGGGGTCTGTTTAGATTTGGAACCAACGGTCACGGTTGGACTCACATTCACATATCTCTCTCCCAGGGCCATGTTCTGCAATGATTTAAAGGAAAAGTATGAGGAGAGGATCATCATCAAAGGGGTCGACGCGGAGACCATGCACACTCTTCTGAACTACACGTACACCAGCAAGGCGCTGATCACCAAGCAGAACGTCCAGCGGGTCCTGGAAGCTGCTAACCTTTTCCAGGTGTGTGAACAAACAGGCCCAGTGCTCTCCTCTGGAGAGAAAAAAGCAGCAGTTCTCTGGAGACCTGCCTGGCCTGGCTCCCAGGCCTGTGCCTGGGACACACATACACACTTAGCTGGGCTTGTGCTTACTTGAAATTTCCCAGGGAGTGGAGAGCTGAGTCATTGACCCCTTAATGCGATGAAGCCAGGGGAGCTTGGTGCCTAGAACCTACACTTGGTTCCTGACTCCAGGAACAATGACTACAATGTAGTCATTGAAGCCTAATTGGAGTGGGGACTGCAGTCACCAATTCATATATGTACCTTCTACTCCTTAGCACAACCCAGGGAGATAGTCACTTTCCCCTACTTTGCAGGTGGGGAAAGCAAGGCACATAGAGAATAAGACACAAGGCTGTGATTTGAACCCTGGGCTTTTTGAGCCCAGGGGCCACATGTATGCCACTATACTGTGCAGCCTCTCAGGGAGCAGTGTCTAGATTCCAGGGGAAGCAGGAACTTCGCTGCTCAGCAATTTGTGGTGGGTGTGAAAGAAGAGCACTTCTCATGAGGGGTGTTATGGAAGATGAATAGAGAACCCTCAGAATTAAGTTTTATTATTTGCATTTAACTGTGTTTCAGTCTGATTATAATAATTATAGTTAGCTTCATAAAATAATTAGACCCACAGATTACATCAGTTGCATCCACAATTATCACAGGAGATCCAGCTTGAGTTACCATCTTTGCCTAGGTCTAAGATTACACCTTGAGCTCGGTTCCATTGGGATATGACAGAGATTATCCCACTGAGGATGTCGAGATTTATGATAAACAGAGTCCGGGGACAGGCCAGGTCATTCCCAGGGACTGAAGACAAGCATCAGATCTTGTCCATGGTTTGGGAGTTTGGGAGTTGGCATCCTCTTGGATCATCAGTAGGTCAGCAGTTGGAAAGAACAGAAAACAAAGTCTGGGAAGGTGGGGAAAGAGGAGTCTAGGGTCAAGATCATGGGCAATTGGATTATCTTTGTGAGGCTGGCGTCTAGGCAGGATTTAGGAAGCCCAGCAAGGAAGGGAAAGTGTAAAGAGGGAGAAAAATCAACCATGGAAGAGCACTGATGATTCTGAGTAATGGGTTTCTGCAGTGTTAGCCAATTTTGTCTCAGTTTCCTCAGGGCATTTTAAAGATACAGAACAAGTTACTTCCCAAAGGACTGGTCACGCCTTACCTGGCAATGTGGCCAAGTCAGTTACCACCTGTTCACCCAGCCCCTTGTCCTTTCTCTCTCCTTATCTGCTTAAACCCTCAGCCTTATTCGCTGGCAGGGAAACTTCCTTTGTTATGTAGAGGGAGGAGCTCAGCAACCTCATGCTCAACATCCCCAACTCATCCCCTCTACCCACTATTCCACCAGTCTAACTTCAGGGAAATCCTTCTTGTGTTATGGAAGGGACTCTATCTAGTTCAGCTTTTATGCTTTTTGGGAAATTTCTCTTACAAGGCAAGTATCCCTTCTTCACTGCTTCCCCCCAAAGGACCAATAAGCTTGAGCAGAATCACCCCATTCACCATAATTCAATCAAACCACAGTTGTCATTGTTACCTTCATGCTAATATCCTTTCCTGGGGTCCAGAAAGTGTTGTTGACTTGTCTAAAGATGGACAGGTAACACTGACAATAATAATAGTAATAGCATTTATTGCTTCACATACAGTGTCTGACACCAGAGTAGATGCTTAATGACTACAAATTGTATTGAGCACTTACTGTGTGCCTTGAGTGACAGTGTTGGATCTAGTAACAAGGTCTCCTGTTTTTCCCACTAACTGAAAGTAGGTCTTATATGATAGGCTGAGGAGATAATGTTGTTTTTAAAGTGCAGGTTTTAATATTTATAAATTGTAATAACATTACAAACTCATTTCAGAAAATTAGAAATCCATACAAGCAAAACGAACATAAAAATTACCTACAACCTCTTTCTATTCAGAGGCAATATGGCAGCTTCCTTAGTATATACACTTCCGGGTCCTTTTCTGTGCATTGATTATACAGAGGCAGCTAGCAGGGTGATAATAGCACAGCTTGGAGCCAGACTGCTGGATTTAAATACCAGCTCCACCACTTATTGGCTGTGTGACTATGGGTGTATTTCATAATTTTGCTGTGCTCCAGTTTCCTTGTCAGTAAAACAACCAAACCAGGGAATACCAAGGAGAGAGAAGATAGGAGACAGACATGGAAAGGAATCTCCTTCAGAGCCTGTAGAGAGAGCCAACTCTACTGACAGCTTGATTTCAGACCTCTGACTACCAAAACTGTGAGAGAATAAATTTCTAGTTGGTTAAATTGCCAAGTTTGTGGTAATTTGTTGTGACAGCCGTACGAAACTCATACAAGCTTAAAAAGTAAACTATAGCTAAAAGTCTTAAAATGAAGAAGTAATCTCCTATTCCCACCCCCTCCTTCAGCTCACTCTTCTGGAACAATTACTTTCACATGTTTTTAAATGTTTCTTCTTTTATCTACTTCCAGATTTCTAAATGATTTGTGTACACTGTTATCTCTTGAGGCATCAATTTTAGATAACTTCTATTCCCTCTCTCCTCCTGCTCTAATTTTAACTGGTCACTCTCTAGGCCTGTTGCACAGTTGTTATCCTGGGAGTTCCCTTTGCTGTCATACTGGGAGTTCCTTTTACCTCATTTCTAAGTTGGATTTTCTCTTCCTGGATCCCATATCTTCTTTCTTGTATACTCCCACATTTTTATGGATCACAATCTTTAATATCTTACAATGAAAGAGTATTTAAGAGAGAAACTTTTTGAGACTTAAATGTCTAAAAATATTTTTGTTTTCCCTTCATATTTGATTGATATTTTGCCTGGGTATAAAATTCAAGGTTGAAAATAATTTTCTTTGACATTTTGAAGGCAGTGCTCTATATTGTTATCTATTATGTACACATTTTGTAAGAATAGGTTACCACTGGGCACATGTTTTTTCATCTATTTCATCCATATTGTATATCATCATTTTTTTTTATGTCAATAGATTCATTTCTGCAACAGCACTTACAATTGCTGTGGGTCTTTTTTCATTCATTATATTCATTTCTTCTATTGGGAGATTCATGTCTTTCAATTCTGGGAACTTTTCTTATATTTTCTCTTTGATATTTTTCTACCAACTCTTTTATCTATTCTGTGCTCTGGAGCTATTATTAGTTAAGTGGCACACCTTCTGAATTTAATTTAATTTTTTTCTTACCTTTTCTTTCCTAATGACCTTCCTGTTCTACTTTCTAGGAGATTTCCTCAACTGTATATTTCAACTCTTCTGTGAGTTTTTAATTTCTGCCACCATATCCTTGCTATGTATTTTATTTTTTTTATTATTATTATTTTTTTATTTTTTAAGGTGTTGGGGGTAGGAGTTTATTAATTCATTAATTTATTTTTGCTGTGTTGGGTCTTCGTTTCTGTGTGAGGGCTTTCTCTAGTTGTGGCAAGCGGGGGCCACTCTTCATCGCGGTGCGCGGGCCTCTCACTATCGCAGCCTCTCTTGTTGTGGAGCACAGGCTCCAGACGCGCAGGCTCAGCGGCCATGCTCACAGGCCCAGCCGCTCCGCGGCATGTGGGATCTTCCCAGACTGGGATACGAACCCATGTCCCCTGCATTGGCAGGCGGACTCTCAACCACTGCGCCACCAGGGAAGCCCTTTGCTATGTATTTTAATAGATTCCTATTCTTATTTCTTGGAGACTATTATAATATGTTTGAAGTTTTCTTCTGCCTTCTCTTTCTTTTGAGTTCCTTTACTCGGTGTGTTTGCTTAGGTCTCCAACTTTCATCTTAGAGGGCGTATCAGTTTTCTAGGACTGCTACCATAACAAATTACCACCAACTGGGTGGCTTAAAGCAACAGAAATTTATTCTGTCACAGTTCTGGAGGACGGAAGTCCAAAATCAAAGTGTCAGCAGGGCCATCCCCCCTGTGGAGACTCTAACGGAGAACCTGTTCTTTGCCCTCTTCCAGATTCTGGTAGCTTTTTGGCATCTCTTCACTCCACTCCAGTCTCTGCAGTCATGTCACCTTGCCTCCTCCTCTTCTGTGTGTCCTGTGTGTCTGTGTTTTATAAAGATATATGTGATTGCATGTAGGGCCCACCAGGTAAGCTTCTCCTCTCATGCTACTTGACCTAGTCATGCCTTGTGCCACATAAAGTAACACTTACTCTTTTGCCATATAAGGTAACGGTCACAGATTCTTGGGAGTAAGACGTTGACATATATTTTGGGGAGCTACCATTCAACTACTACAGAGGGTTTCTTCAAATACCCTTGCTATCCAGTCATGTTTTATATTGAGGCCTTAATATACTAGGTTCAACTCAGTGCACATGGAGTAGAATGGGAAGCGAGAAGACTAGGGAGTTTTACTAGGGTTATCAGGTGGCCTGCCAATTTTTTATTCGGGCTCCTTAAATGTCAGTAGTTGCTGAACTTTTCCTAGGGCCGTTCAGTTTCTCCAGATAAAGATCATTCAGTCTTTTGCCGGGGGTTATAAGACAACTGCATGTATTCTGGACCGGTTACATAGGTGTGGGTATGTGTGCAAATCTTTGCTTAACCCCTTTATTTTAAGTAAGAGGTCCTCATGTGTCTTCTTCAGTTTCTGGTGTCCCTGAGTCCAGAGCCTTTCTGGTCTGCTTTCTCCACAGGATAAATCGTCTTTTCCAGTGGGAGTGGGAGTTGTTAGACCGCAAGAAGTAATGAGGAGAACCAGGAGGCTTAACTTCTTAAACCAACTCCCTGCTGTCAGCTCCCACCTACCCTGGTCTTCCTGGTTTGGGGGGACTTTAATATTCCTACGTTTTTGGATTCTGAGGGACAAACTTAGTGTGACCTCTGTCCTCTCAGCAAAGTCACTTACCAGTCTTTATATTGTGTGGTTTGGGGTTACTGCTGTCTCTTGGTTTCATTGTGGATGGAGTTTGTGTTTCTGTTTCTT